ATGGAAGAATTGTAGGGCTCTTTTCTGAGACAGAGAATGTGGGAAGGTAGTTATGCCTGAAAGTGGAAGATGATAAGTCTGCCTTTGGAAATGATGAGTTCCTTTAAAAATTCTCTTTTTCCTGATTTGCTTTACACTAATTTTGTCAGCTGCTATTTTTTTTTTTCTCAGCCACTGTCTTCCCCAACTTCCCACAAGACGTCTGTGTTCTTCCACTCCCACTGCAGTTAAATGTTGGTACTCTCCATGGTTCTGACCTGAGCCTCCAGCCTCTGGAATCACTCGAAACCTGGGCTGTCCAATATGGCTACTAAGCACTGGAAATGTGGCTCATCCAAATTAAGATGTGCTGTGTTAAATACACATAGGATTTCAAAGACATAGCATTAAAAATAATGAGAAACAAAATCATGAATAAGATTTTCTATTAATTATATGTTGAAATGGTAATATTTTGGATGGATGGGTTAAGTAAAATATATTACTACTTTCTTAATATTTAAAAGTGCATATCTGACTCACTGCATATTTTTAGTGGATTGCCTTTCTCCAGACAGCGACCCTATTATCAACTCATTCCCATCTGTTTGAGCCCACAGAACTGCTTACTGTCCCGAGAACAGTTCAAGTCATTTTATGCCTCATATGCATCTTTTTCCTGAACTTTTGTTCCTCTTTTTTCCTATCAGATAAGACATGATCCCTACTTCTTTGTTCAGAGCAAACACCTCCTCTACTATATGAAACTTTCCTAAATCCTTAAGATAGAATTAAATGTTTCTGCCTTGGAGTGTTACAAGCTGTGTTAGTATCTTTATTATAGCTAATTCACATGCTTGTATTTTGTTTTATGTACATTTTTCTCTCTAGCCAGATTGTAAGTGTCTTAAAAGTGCAGGTACAATCTGATTTATGTTTGTAATTATATAACTGGGTACTTGGTATCGGGTTGATGCTCAATGAAAGTCTGGTGAATGAACAGTTACCATGTGATTGGACTTAGATGTTTCACATACAATATCTTGAATCCTCTTAACAACCCTGTAAGGTAGATATAATTTCTTTGTTTTGCATGTGAGGACCTTGCAAAAGCTCAAATCATTAATAAATTATAGAGCTAGGATTCAACTAGAGTGAATGACTCCAAAGCTATGTGCTTGCGATTTCTTATATGCTAAAAAATGGATTAAAAAGTGGAGATTATATTTCTACATCATAAAATGAAGAAAAAAACCATTTCCTAAGATTATAGAAGATTAAATGAGATAATGTATATAAAGTGTCAGGGCAGTGCTTGGAAATAGTCAATTTAATTAAACATTGGCTTCCTTTAGCCTTGAGGCCCATTGCATAGGGGTCCTTAATTTCTGCAGGGGCCCAAGGTGGTCTGCCTAACCCCCATGATGCCCTACACGTGCTCACACACATTCACACTCACACAGAGGTCCAGGGAAACAGAGCCCCTCTGGGGACATTTGCTTAAACCCAGTCCTCTGTGTGCATGCCTCTGATGATTAAAGAAAGTGAAGTAGACAAATAGCAAGTAGTAATTGCGGGGCATTCAGTTTGCATGTGTGTATGTTTGTGTTTGTTGGTGAGGGTTGGGGCAGGAATAATAGCAGAAAAGGAATCAAATCTGGAGTCTTAACAGAGCTATTTTGCTTTGGTGAACTCCCAGAAAATCATTTTAGTAGAGTTCTGACTCTTCTCTTCCGGTTCTGTCGTACCCAGTGATGGTAGTTTACTTTTTTTTTTTAAATTTTATTGAGGAACAGTGTGTTTTTCCAGGTCCCATCAGCTCCGAGTCAAGTAGTTGTTTAATCTAGTTGTGGAGGGCGTGGCTCAGCTCCAAGTCCAGTCACCACTTTCAATGTAGTTGCAGTGAGTCAGCCCACCATCCCATATGGGAATAGAACCGGCAACCTTGTTGCTCAGAGCATGCACTCTAACCGACTGAGCCACCTGGCCACCCCAGTGATGGTATTTTACAATCAGAACCCTTTTCTTTTCTTTCCTCTCTCTCTCTCTCTCTCTCTCTCTCTCTCTCTCTCTCTCTCTCTCTTTACCATTGCAGGAATCTTTGTAGGAAAGGGAAAGGGGAAGTATGAAAGGTAAACATTAATTGTAGGCCAATACTGGTCTGTATTTCCTATATTGAGGTACTAGGCTCCTACGAAATAAATTTAAACAAGTGACATGTGAAGATATGTTGCTACAGGGCTGTGTTCAGGTAAGAGAAAACAATCCCTCTGTAAGTTTCCCTGTAATTCCCCTGGAAAAGCAATATTAAGAAATCTCTCAGTTGCTACTGGTAATTGACCAAGGCTAAAGGGAGCTTATGAGCTCAAGAGTAAGACAGCTGTTTCTCCTCTTGATTCTCCTGGTTTACACATTTCAAGGTAACAACCAAACCAATGCTTTGTGTATTGTCAGAGGGAACATTGTCACCAACCTGTGCTCTCCTTTATTTTAGATCAAACACACAGGGTAAGTACTAAGTAAGGTGGAGCTTACACTACTTAAAAGGACTCAAATTTTCCTCTAAATATATAATATGTACAATATATATAACATATGAAAGCCTTCTGATCCATTACAGAACCAAAGTACATATAAAAGAGACAGGGAATTAATATAAAAGGGAATTTAGGCATTATTATTATTATTATTATTATTATTATTATTATTATATGTTTACCTCTAAGACTAGTCCTTTGAATTTAGGTGCTAAATCTTAAACTTCTCTGAATTTATTTCACTACCCTCCACATCGCAAGTACTTGATGTTCCTTCACTGAGTAATGGAAACAGTCACCCTTATGCAGTATAACTGACAAGGAGATTCGAACTTGAGTGGAGAGCACAAGGAGTTGTAAGGAAAAGGTCTTTTGAAGTGAAAACTCAGACTTTTTAGGAAACTGAATATTCTCCAGCACTTAAATCAAACTTTGAGATTGAGAAAACAGCTCCAAATGTAGGGAGAACTTTTATGTCCGATATTGTATAGAGAGAAATTCCATGGCCAAGAACACATAAAAAATAACAATGGCAATTAACCTGACTGCTCCTGAAAATTTAATCTACATAGAAAAATAAGTACAACTTTGCATTTTAAAGGGAAAAAAAATTCAAGTTGATTTACCTGTCAGATTGACTTGTGCTCAAAAGGATGAACAGAAGGTACTTTTAAATTCAATCCATGCAAATGCCAAAGCCTCATAAACTCTCACACTCAACTGATTTTGAGGAACCTCTCTGGGACTCAGGTTCCTCACCTGTGACATGTAGGAATTTGAGTGCAATGCTCCCATTCAGTTCTCTAATGCCTGAATTCTCTGCTGGGCCTGCCACGTAGCAGACAACATTAATTGAAAATCTTTCTGTTTTCCTCTACATTTCTGAGACTATTTCTGTTTACTTTGCTCATTTACTTGGTTCTTTAGATTCCATATATGATGCTTGTTAGATGGGAGAGGGGTGGGAATAAGGGAGAAGGGGAGGGGATTAGACAGCATAAATTGCTAACTACAATATTGCCACAGGGATATGAAAGACAGTTTGGGGAATATAATCAATAATGTTGTAAAGATTTTGTAGGGTGTCAGATGGTCACATGTCTTGTTAGGGAGACCACTTCATGGATGGTGTAGATGCCTGACTACTGCACTGTACACCTGAAGCTAAAGCTGAATAATATTGTATGTCAACTATAATTTTATATATATATATATATATATATATATATATACACACACACACACATATATCTATATATATCTATATATATCCCATAAGTATATAGTCACGGGATATGGAGTATAATATAGGGAATAGAGTCAATGGAATGGTAATAGATAAATACAATGTCAGAGGGGCAATAGATTGGGGATGAAATGTCTAACTATTACATTGTTTTGTACACTGAAACTAACAAAAATAAATAAATTTTTTAAAAAAAAAGAAAGAAAGAAAATGCTTCTGGCTTCCAGTACAGGCATCTTGACCAATAGTAATTAAATCATAAGAACTCTTTCTGTTGAGTAAACAGAATGTTTGAAGGTAGGTAGTCTAGGATGGGATCAGTAGCTCAATGAGGTTGTCCAGGAACCAGGCTTTTAAAATTGTTTTCTGCATCGTCCTCTTTACCTGTTGGCATTCATCTGAGAGATCGTTGCCTCATGGCTACAAGAAAGCTATCACAGCTCCAAGTAGAAAAGAAGAGGCAGAGTCAAAAGGCCTCTCTTTGCATCCAGTGAAGTTCCCACATTTCCTTTGTCAGAATTCAGCCAAAGAACCAACCTAGACTAATCACTGGCAAAGGAAGAGGAGATTCTAGACTTAAATTAGAGCAATTATCATTCATCCTTTACCCCTGAGGGTAAAGAATAGCTGCCCGTGACCTAAACAGATCAGAGTTCTAATAGGAGTGAAGGAAATAGGGGAGAGGATGGTCATTGAGTAGTAAACAAAATATGTCTGGTAGAAGCACTTAATAAAGGTTTATTGAATGAATAAGTGAGGGCTGCATTATGACTTTCATAGATCCTAACAATTTTGCCTCTGCAAGGCCCTACCTCAAAAAAAATGTTAAAAATAGTATTTTACAACTCAGTTGATATAAAGACAAATATTGCGTTGTTGGAAAAGTCATGACGTATTATTTCTATGTTTTTCATTGCAAAAATGCATCATGACTTTTCTGACAACCCAATATAATCCAGACTGGAGTCATTGTTATGTATTCATTATTATTATTATTGAATTCTGATTGTAAAAGTTAAAATTGAAACATTTTTGTGGGCCCTAAGTACTGTTGCTACTATGCCCAGCGGATAATTCTGCCCTGAGTCTATGCTGTGTTTCCATCTGGTGTGTCAACACTTGAGGGTAGTGACTGTGTACAAGTTTCAATGTTGTCCTCAAATCCCCAACTGTGTACCTAATTGTTGCTCAATAAGTAGTGCTGAGTTGACCTAACATATCACTGTTTCTTCCTCTAGGGTGAGCCGGGTCCTCCTGGTCCTTATGGTCCTCCGGGAGTCCCTGGTATTGGACAGCAGGGTATTAAGGTACTTGTCTCTTTGCCCATTAATGATTATTGAATTTGTTGTAGGGGCTGGGGGAGCTATGATTTGAACTCTGTTCAGCCACACCCTCCTAGACACAAGGAGGCTGCCTGCAGGAGTTACTTAGAGTCTGGATGCCTGGACGCTGAAGTGCCCTAGTCATGGGCAGTTATCACAAGATAACCAACATACTTTTTGGTTTGGTTGGAATGAAAAATTTGCTTGTCTCCAAATACCCTCCCTCTTGCCAATATACATGTAGTTCTGTTGAGTTTTCAAGGACTTTAAATGTTAACATGCAAAATGTTGTTGGGACATGAAACACGTTAACACATCAGCTATTACCTGCTCCCATTAACTAAGCCTACGGAGGCAGAAACTGAAAGAACCATGACACTGAAAGGTAAATGTTGACAGAAAGTTTGTTGGGAACTATTATAGAAAGGATGGGAACATCCAATACTGTGGTGCTGTGCCTCCCGCAGGATGTAAGAGAGCAGAAGTGCTTATTTTAAATGACTTTTCTAAGTTGTTGGGACAATAACGCTTTGATCCCAGACTAAAACAGAGAGCAGTACAAAACAGTGCACTTCGAATGTAAGCAAGTGTCACCACAGATGGCATTTAGACAATAAGCACATTGAGACTTCCGGGAGGGTGGAGTTTGTATTGGTAGAGTTATTGGAGAAGGTTCTGAAGGTGATCAAGTATGAAACAGAACTCAAAGGAGAGGTGAAATGGAGGGGAGTGGGCGTGAGGAAAGGGCGACATTCCAGGATGGTGGTGGAGGGGCAGGGAGCAGCACAAGCAGTGTCAGCTCGGTAGTCTCAGTAACCAGAATGAATCACACTCCGTCCATCGTGCCAATTACAAGAGTCCCTGAAAGCTGAAAGTGCCATATTGCATTGAGACAAGAAGGGATGATGAACATTTTAGGGTGATTTGTTCACTTAAGTTCAAGCCATTTCTACCCTTCCAGAATTTTTTATTTTTATTTCTTTTGAGTGTGTAAGGGTTGGCTGTTTGGCTATTTATCTTGGCTGAAATCTCCAGAATATTTTGTGCTGTGTTTCATCTTTATTTAGTTCAAACTTTCATTTGATTATTTCTTTCTCTTAGGGGGAAAGAGGCCAGGAAGGAAGAACAGGGGCTCCGGGACCCATTGGCATTGGTGAGCCGGGCCAGTCAGTAAGTAGTAAGAAATTCCAGATGGAATAAGGACAAATATTGTTCAGATGTGTTCATTTTCGTTAGAATAAATGCTTGAATTAATCCATCTTATATCTTTTTGGACAAAACAAAAGACAATAAATATACAAGGACCAAAACCAAATGTCATTTTTCATAATACTTGAAATAGGGACACACACACACACACACACACACACACACACACACACACACACACACTCTATATGTACAACTGGCTCTCTCTTACTGTAACTTCTTACAATATTAATCAGCTTCTCCAAGGAGAAAAGAGTTCTCATGTATCAAAATTCCCTAGGAGACAGGAGATCTGGATTCAGGCTTAATGTCTGTATTTTGTAATTTACTTTTCTATAACCATAAGAAAGTCACTGACAATGAGGATTTGCTCATTACTGAATCCATGAGTATACTCTAAAGCTAGTATTGATGATGGTAGACAGATACTAAAACCTGTGTTATTTGCAGTTTATACCTTATGTAGCTTTGAAGTTTCCTATTAGAGAATAATTAAAAAAAATCTTTCTATCCAAAGAGATCTGGAGAGGAAATGAGTAAAACATGACTCTTGTAGTATAAGAAGCTTCTTAACCTTTCCAGTAATTATTCTCCTAGGAAAGAACAGTAGCTGACTCACGGGGGTACAAATGAAAATATAGGTGGTCTCCCAGTTTGGTTTTGCATTACATGGTTCCTCGTATTTAAATAGTAACAGAAACACGTGCACCCTTGCCGTGCTCTTGAGTGAGATGGGAGTATAGTGTTTGAGGGTGAGGCTTTTCACTAATGTCTGGATACACTCATTCAAAAGAAAGCACCGCATGGAGAAAAGATATACTAGACTCATTTTCTACAGACCAGCGATCAAGTCCCAGTTTCCACTAACTAGATAGTGCCCTTAAAGGTAAGCCACTGAGAGAGAAGAAAGCAAGCTCCTTTGCAGACACTGCTGGGTCCTCACTGGAGAGGCTGGAAACTTAGAAAACGGAAGGGACATCAGCTAGAAAGACACAGGCCCAGATAAATGGCCATCTAAAGGGAGTGGAGCAGAGAGTTCAGGGAGTTTTTAACAGAGATAAACAAGAATCTTTTCCAAATAAGTGGGAATAAAACTGAGATAGATAAATAAGTAAATAAATAAATAAATAAATAAATAAATAAATAAATAAATAACAAGTTGCTAAAAAACACAAAGAAGGAATTAGTAAACTTCCACCAGGTAGACAAATCTTTACATTTTTCTACACTTGCTTTAGATTGTCTTGAAAAGACATAAAACATTATGGATACAATAAAGTACACATAATCTCTTCCAGAAAATAGAAGAAGATAAAACACTTCCCGACTTATTTTAGGAGGCCAGTTTTTCCCTGATACCAAAAAACAAGACAGTGACAATACATAAGAAGAAAACTATAGAACAATATCCCTCATGAATGTAGACACAAGAATTCTTAACAAAATATTGACAAACAGAATTCAGTAATATATAAAAAGAGTTATATAGCATGACCACATGGAGTTCATTCCACAGATGCAAGTTGAATTTAATAAATCGAAAATCAATCAATGTAATGCATCATATTAATAGGCTAAAAGAGAAAGATCACAGGATCATATAAAAAGAAGCAGAAAAGCATTTAACAAAATTCAAACCCCTCATAAACCCTGAGGAAAAAACTCTCAGGAATTAAGAAGAACTTCTTCAACTTTTACAAAAACAAACAAATAAAAACAAACAAACAAACAAAACCACTACAGCTAACATTATATTTAATGGTGAAAGATTGGACACTTCCCTGTAAGATCAAAAACAAGACAAAGATTTATCTGTCACCAATTTTGTTTAATGTAATAGTAGAAGCTCTAGCTGGCACAATAAGGCAAGAAAAGGAAATAAAAGCCACAAAGATCAAAAAGAAGAAATAGAGCTGTTCCTATTTGCAGATAACATAATGGTCTTCATAGAAAACCCCAAGAAATCTATAAACAGCCTCCTGGAACTAACAACTGAGTTCAGTAAGGTCACAGGAAGCAAGCTCATCATACAAAATCCATTTTATTTCTATATTCTAGTAACAAATATAGAAACTATCATCTTTAATTTTATGATTGCTACTAGTTTTGTGGTAGTCTGACAGGTGACTGATTCATGGAAAATAAATTGGTTCAGACTCTCAGGGTGATATGTTTGTTTTTTGTGCAAGGATATTCAGACAGCTATCAGTAAAAAATATACTCCCTGAAATAGAACTGCAATTACTTCGAGGTTAAAAAATAAAGTACTTGGCACTGTTTGAATATTATGCACAATTTTTATTATTTAGTATATTTCTCTTTACTGCTTGCAATGTACATTAAAACCACCTTATTGGTTACCCATACTATTTAGATTATTAAGGAAAGTAAGATCATGGATAACCATATTTTATCTTGTTAATGTCTCAAATAAAGAATTTCACCGTGTTAATCGATAATTAGCTTCTTCCATTATATATATTTTTTTATTCGAGGTGTTCATTAGATATCAACTGAGTATGTCATAGTTGTAATTGGTTCTCATGGCCTTTGAAAAGGACACTGAGATTTTTACAGACATATTTCTGCCTTTAAAAAATGATCCACTGGTAAAATGATCCTGAGTGTCTTAATAAATTAAAAATATAGTTCACCTAACCCAAGTAACTGCTCTTTCTCTTCTCTGGTTAACAATCATCTTCTATTCTGATGGCCCAGCCAGAAAACTTGAGCATATACTGATGGCGCGGAATGTTACTCTGACAGTTTACAGTCACTAAACCTTGGTTCTCTATTTTTTTAAACGCCCCTAAGTGATTGCTCATGAGCATTAACTCTCTGTTCTCAGCATCTGGAAACACACAGCTCCTGAAAGCCTCCATTATTTTCACTTCCACCTGAGCTGATGTATTCTAGAAATGCAGATATGGAACTGGAAGTTTCAGTGTTCACGCTGTGCATGCAATATGCCTCTCTCCACACTGCTTAATATAAGCTATTCGCTCTGAGACTACATTCTTTTAGAAACTCCCCTAAAAGGATATTCTTAGCAACTGCAGGACTCTAGGAAAATAATTTTTATAGTGATAGCAGATATTTATTGAGTGCTTAATATGTAAGAGCTTTAGATCTATCTGACTTAATCCTTATATTAATACTTGAGGGTGAGGTAGGTACTATTGTTACCACCATTCTGATGAGGATACTGAGCTTTAGATAGATGAAATTATTTGTTTAAGGTCACACTGCTAACACTATGTAGCAGAGCTGGGACTTAAACTTTAGTCCAAATGGCACCAAAATCTGCTTTTAATAGTCATGCAAGACTATAAACTCTAGGGAGCAGGTCTGCCTGCTCTTCTTAGAACCTAGCACAGGGGCTTACCTCTACTAGGCATTTGGTAAATATTTGTTGAATGAATGAAAAAATATGAATATGCTGGAAAATGGATTTCTTTGCATTTAAGGTACATTGTGTTATATTTGTCATATCATTGGGGAAGAAGATAATTTGCCAATTTTTTGTTGTTGTTGTTAGGGTGTGCGATGTTAGCAAGGCACTGTCTGTTTAGTTTGCAAGCTAGTTTTCATGTTCATGTATATTTTTCCTTTAGTTAATTGCTCTAACACTGGAGTAAGCTGTCATGGATATTAATTGATTAAGGCCTTGGGTTATTAAAAGCTAGGTTTCCCATAAACATAGCAATGTAAATTGAAGCAAATGTCAGCTTTTTCTTTTAATTAAAATCTTTACTAAATGGGCTATGCATAAATACTAAAGGAAATTGCCTTTTAAATATATATAAAATTAGGGAGAAGCCAAACAATTAAACACTGAGATACAGCTCTTGTAAACTTTCAGCTGTAAGCTTTTTTCCTTACAAATCTATAGCTATGCCAGTCACCCATTAGCATAATGCTCCACCCTAGCTCAGCTACCAGGCTTCAGTAGAAAGCATCTCTGAAATGACCCTGGATTACTGCACACAGCACCCCGGGATTATTCAGAATCTCGGTAGATCCTGTTCTGTCACAGGTTTACTTCCCTGGCAGGTGAGTCCTAAAGATCTTTTTAGGTCCATTTGAGGAAAAGCTCCAGTTTGTGCTTCTAAGATTCTTGTTGTCAGTTCCTTTTCTACCTTTTGGCCTTCTGGCCAAGGAGCACATGAGAGAAAATGTGTAGCCTTTTAACATTCCTGGTGTTTAAGCGAATACATTGCTGCTGTCTTTTTTTACTTTTCAGTGAATACCTTGCCTGTCACTCCACTTCAAAGCCTGAGACTGTGTTGTTTTTCTTACCTTATGTGAGAGGTTCTCACCTTTCCTAGTGCTTTCCTGAGCAATAGTTCCATGGACTTCTTACTTTTAATCATTGAGATTGAAGATCATGTTTCCCATCAATGATTCTATCAAGATTTCTATTTATCTTAAACTCCCAGTGCATTCAACTAGTTCTTTTTAAAATTATATTCCCAGTTTTTATTTTTTATTATTTTTCAATTACAGTTGACATACAGTATTATATTTCAACTAGTTCTTGGAAGATTTCAAGTTTCAATCCGATTTTATCAGGGGAGAAATGAAAACACATGTAAACAGAATTTAATGTTTTAAAATAGCTGTGCAGTGACTTTTTCACAGGGCTCCCCTCCTAATTAAATTATTAAATCACTCTGTATCCTTCTCCATGCCACACAGTCCTAGATTTTTAGCCTTTCCTCCTAGGTTTTATTTTCTAATCCTTATTTCGAAGCATCACTTCATTTCCACTTTTCTCTAACTTGAGGGCGCCACAATATAACACCGTATGCCAATCAAGTGGAATGAGTATTTAATACAATGGGAATATTATTCTTCTCAACTCTGCGAGTCTACTGATCAGTATGCAGCTTACCAGAATTCTCACAATTAAATAGATCTATATCATTGCCATGCTCACGGGAACTGAACTATAACGGTTTTCTTTTTTCTCCTCCCTTCCGCTCCCTTCCCTCTACCCTTCTCCCATTCTCCTTTCTCTCTCTGCTGCTCCTCATTTCCTCTTCCCCTAACCAGGGTCTCCGTGGTCCTGAGGGAGCACCAGGTGAGAGGGGTTTACCCGGAGAAGGATTCCCAGGAGCAAAGGTGACAATACATTCTGTACTAGGAAAAAGTGCTTTGTCTCGCATGATCATGAATTACGAATTTTAAAAAATGTGTCCTAGCCAATTATCAAAAGTCAAATATTTTCCTATCTGTACCCTATTAAATGAAAGGATATGCAAATTTCCCCTTGACATGGAGCTATAGTGAAATTTGCAATTATAACTAAGCAAGACTTCTTGAAATACTTCTACTTTGTATAATTATTGTGCATGAAATTAGAGAAATATCTTAAAGTAATTTGCAGTCATTAAAGCCACAGTAATAGATAGCATCTTTATGCCCAGAAGTTATTGAGCGTAGCTATGACAACGTTGAACTTAGATTTGTTTTGTGAAACATTGATAAGAAACAGTCTAATAAACTGATTTGTAATAGTACTGCCATTAGTATAATAAAAGAGGAAATAGAGATGGGGGGAGGGAACTGGAATTACTTTATTACCATAAGGAGCAAAATGTTATGCAAGACCTACCTTTTACCTGGCAATTGAGAATTTCAACGTTTCTACTGCTTTCCACATATAATTCTTGGAGCTCAAGGTCCTCTGGACCAGGGATTGGCAAACTTTCTGTAAATGGTCAGACAGTAAATATTTTAGGCTTTGTGAACCATGTGATATCTCTGTTGCAACTACTTAACTCTGCTGTTGTAGCATGAAAGCAGCCACAAACAATGAGGGTGGCTATGTTCCAAAGAAGCTGTATTTACAAAAACCAGGCAGTGAGCTTGATTTGGCCAATGGGCTGATCTCTAGTCTAGGCTGTTTACTCACAGCCTATGGCGCATTTGCAAAGGCCACATAAGAAATGCTTTTCTAAGACACTTTGGGCAGCATCAATAACATTTCAGAGGAATAAGGGTACATTTTGGAGTCCTTTGTCATTTTTTAAAGTCTTTCCCGCAAACACACATCCATGCATAGATGGACTGCTCAGAAAAGCACATGCTCTTTCCTCAGTGTCTAAGACATTTCACTTCAGTCATTCAGTCAATTCACTCAGATCTGACATTTTCAGTACGGCCTCACACTCTAAATTTGCCTCTCATTATTAGCCTCTTCCATCATGATCAATACTCAATGACATGAGAAGCCTGAATCTCAACGAGAGGGAAATTAATTAACTAAAACAAATAATTCATACCAAGTTGTGAGGGACTGCTGGGCTGAATTTTAAGAGAAGCCCTTTTTAACTCACAAATTTTAATTTGACATAATAAATGAAAATATTATGTTGAATAAAGGGGACATTACTAACTCCTTTACTGACCAAAGTGTCACTGTCAGAAGACAGAGGCCAGCAATTCGGCACCATATTCCAGAAAATTTTATAATACATAGTTTCTTGAATTTTTTTGGCAGGAGGCTATAGTAATTTCCCATTTAGGTGTAGCCCAAACAACCTGGAAAATTCAAATAGCCAGAATAATTTCTCTTTATAATCTGTGGGTTTTTTGGGTTTTTAAAAATTTTATTGGGGAACAGCCAAGGTCATTGGTTACACATTGCTTGTTGCTACAATGGCATAGTTGACTCTTTGAAGGAGGGTACAACTCACAGTGGCCCATGTGGGAGTCGAACCAGCAACCTTGGTGTTACCAGCACCATACTCCAACTAACTGAGCTAATTGGTCAACCATGTGGGATTTTTTTGAGATAAAGAAATAAATGAGAAACGAATAACTGAAACACAAAGAAGCATATTGCAGGGCATGTCTGAATGACAGGCTCAACTGTATACACTTTTACTCATGATAAATCAAGTCACTGCGTTGCCCTCTATCTCATCAAGGAAAGACACACTATGTTCAGTGGTGTTTCAGGGTTGACTGTATATAATTACACACTGTAGGAATGATCAGAAGAACCCACAAGTCAGCACACTCCCCAACCAGTGGGACCAATGAGAGTTTTCCAGATGAGCTACTTGGGGCTGCTTTGCAATGAGTTAGAGCTTAAGTGAATATGCCATGAATATAGAGAGACACAAAGATATATTTCCCTGTTTCCTAGATTCTTACAAATGTCCTTTGATTTTATTCTTGGTTCAAATAAATTCATGAAATGAATGCTATTTCTGATTGCTTATATGATTTATTTTTCATACAAAAGCATTAAGTGTTACAACTTCATTGATATTACATTACAACCAGAGCGATTCACATGGATCATGTGACTATATCTAAGAAGATTTTATATTCCTTCTTTCAAAACTAAATTTTTAATGAATGTTTATAAATTCTAATATAAAACATTTAATAAATAAGTCAATCCTAGCAAGTATTAGTTCACACACTAATATGATAAACAAATTTTCATTGTTGCAGCAATGTTGAGAAAATAGGGGACTGATTCACTTAGTTGTACTATGTGATTGATTAGACTCCCATTTTCAGATATTTCTGATTATATTGGGAATAGAGATCTTTTTCCAACTTTAGTGATACTGCATGTGTATTTGGCATGGACAGAGTTCTTCCTATTTAAGAATGTTATGACTAATTTTTTTTGCAAGTTACAGATCTTGGAGTCAGTTAGAATTACCCATTTGCAGTGAATTTGGTTGCTTTGAATGCTTTGACTGTTTTAAAATCCTGATTTTTATAGTGCGCTTATATCCCTCCAATATACTTTCAGGGTGAAAAAGGTTCTGAAGGACCAATTGGCCCACAAGGATTACAAGGCCTGTCAATCAAAGGGGACAAGGTACTGCATATTTTATATATATATATATATATATACACACATATATATATATATATATATACACACATATATATATATATACACACACACACATATACATATATATGATACATAATAGAAAAGATGCCAATAAAATTTAAAAACTTTTTCATTTTATATGTACATTTATGAACTGTATACAACCTGACAACCATATCCCACAGGTTTCTAGTTAATTATAATTCAATTACATGCAAAGATATTATTACATAGGATGAATTATGATCTGGAAAATCCCATTGTGTGTATTTATAATAATGTCTCATTTATTTAGGTTCTGACTTCCAATAACCCTGTCATCAACCAAGTGGCTTTAAAGCCAAACATAAACAAAAGACAGCTTTTCTTAGTAAAGAAAATAGCTGTTAAAAATATATTGACTTGACCCCATTATAGAAGCATATATCTATCCTTAGTCTCTCACTCAAAAATATTACCTTAAAATTGGGCTAATGTAAGAAAACTTATTTAAGAAAACTAGCGCTGATGCCCTCCAGTAAGAACCAACAGGAACCACCCATAATGGAACAAGTTTAGGTTCATTGACTCATTGCAGCAAGGGAGACCACATACCATGGGGAACCGCTCACAACTCGGTAAGAAGATGAAAGATTCTTCTGTAGGATTTGGGCTTGTATTAGGGGATTTTAGGGAGTGTCTAAGAAAGTACAAATTGGCTCTGGATTGGATGCTGTCAGAAAGTGGAGGTAATTTTAAGATGGGCTATTTTAATGAATCCTATCTAAGAGGTGGGAAAAATGGAGCTAGGCTTATTTGTAACTGGTAACAAAACAGCAGTTCCTCATTTTAGCCAGTAAACGGGGATATATGATCATTTGGTGGAGGAGGGGGTTGGACATTGTTTTTTTATTTTTGTCTGTGCTCAGACTTGACCACAAGAGGCCTTGCTTTTTGTCTTGGTTCATCATACAGAATAACCATGTCCGACACTGGTATTCTGTAAAATTGTTTATGTTCAATGCCACGGCCGACCTGCCATTGCTTTCTTCTTTTTCACTACTCACTTGTTTTCTTTAAAATAGCTGCAGGTTATACCCAGGTTAAATGAGGGTGAGGCTGGTGATAGAAGCTACTGGAGGTCGATAAGACCCTAAAGATCAGAGGAAAGGGAAAGCTGCCCCAGGGGGAGGGGATATAAGAAATGTGCAAAACACAGCGACTTTGAATCAAGTTGGAGTCATTTACATGTTAACATTTAAGCATATCATTATATTTATATATAGTAGAATAATAATTGATATTCATGATTATCTTAGGTGTTGTGTTTCAATCTTGAATGACTTCTTTTATTTACTGATAGCTGTCTCTTTTGGGACTCTGTATTTAAACAGCAGAGATAGTGGTAAATAGTGATTTATATAAATTTTACATGTAATACAATTTTTTGGTTCAAATAGCTCAGCTATGGCTGTAACTCCAGCTCCAAAATACTCTAAAAATATGTAATATACTGTTTATTCCTCTGGAGCACGGAAAACTAAGTACAACAGAACCACTGTTTTATAAGTTCAGTAAATTAATTTAAGACAGTTTTCTTTCATTGCTTTCTCACATCAAGGTTTTCTTGCACCCTATGAATTTTACACTTTTAAATATTTCTGTTATGATCCTGTCAGGAAGTATTTGTGTCATAACAGTAACCATTCAGGAATTTTGGGTTCTTGTGAGAAAAATGGTTGATAAATATAAAATGATGCAAATTCTTACCAATTTAAATTAAATAATAAAAATATCATTCACTATTTTGGCAACTTTGAACTATATACTGTTTAAAAAGGAATTGAGTTTGCTAACGTTCCATGTTGAACATTTCTATGATGTTAAGATAGATTTTAATCCAGCATACTTCCTGATTAGCAAAGTATAAAAGAATGAGGTTTTGTTTTATTGTTATATTTCTAACTTATTTCCTATACAGGGGGATTTGGGACCTGTGGGACCCCAAGGACCAATGGGCATCCCTGGAATTGGGAGTCAAGGGGAACAGGTAATCAATGCTTCCTCTCTTTCCCTTTGGTAAAGAATATCTGGCCCAATCTTGGTGGCCCCTGAAAGCCAGTTCTGCAAACACATATGAGTGTATTTGACAGTCAAATTGCCATGGAATTCACATCAAAGTGAATGTGGGGAAGGATAAGATACCCTCATGAGATCTTATTTTTAGAAATTCCAAGACTTAAAAAATAAGTTGTGTGTTTCTTGGTTACTTTTAACATTAAAGCCTAATTAATAGGATAAGAGTTTGGGGGTAATATTTTATATTTTTAGTATCCCTTGAGAGCAATAGTTTATTTCCTCTCTCTCTCTCTCTCTCTCTCTCTCTCTCTCTCTCTCTCTCTCTCTCTCTCTGTGTGTGTGTGTGTGTGTGTGTGTGTGTGTGTGTGAATTTTTTCCTCTTGCAGCTTCTGAAAGATTAAATCCCACCCCCTCCCAATGCCAGTAAAGTAGTACTTTCCACCCTCTGGCTATGGACCAATCTAAAATAGTATTAAATTTAAAACCAGAATCAGGTCCAGAATCAGAGGTAGCTACTTAATTTAAGGGGCACTGTTCCTGAATAGACACAAGCCACAAATACAGTTTATAAGTAACACCTGGCCTCTCTCAGTCAGAAGAAAGAAAACATCTCTGAGCTTGTCTTGATACTCATGGTTGAAACTGCTTCCAAAATTTTCTGACCAGAACTACTGGAAAAGCTGGGCAATCTTGTTAAATCTAAATAATATGAAGATGATGCAACAGTACTATCTACAGTTGTTGCTGACCATATGCTTTTACCTACACAATCTCTTTTAATCAAGTCTAATCAAGTCTTTTAATTAAGTCTAAATTTATACTGACAACCCTCCTCATAGAAAATGGCAAATCAGTTTGATTAAAATTTATGATTAAAGTATGAATGATTCTGTTGCCTAGAGAGTGAACGGTGCTTCTTTTATCTGGGATAGTGGGAGAAGGAAAGGATAAAAAAAATGAGATAATTCCAAATTTTATTATTGATATTACCTCTGCGTTTACTTCAAACCATCTTCTAATTAATTAGTATATTTTTATTGTTGTTAATTCAAGCCCCAGCAAACTTGGAGTTACTCCTCATTCGATTTCCTTTCCTTGGTAGAGGTCCTAGTGTAACAGATTAGGAGGACTAAGGTGCAAGAGAAGCCAAGATAAATCTGTAAATCACTATTTAGATATTAATTAAGAGCTGGATATTCTGACTCCATGAGGATCATGGTTTGACGCTGTGACCAGGCATTCTCAAGCTTTGTGGTTTATGTGCTGATCTCAGCAGGGTTTACGTTCTAATCCTGGCAGTGGCTGGACAGTACTGTCACATCGTGGGACTTGCTGTGTTCCTGGTGCTGAGTCACCACTGTAAGGCTGAAAATGAGGTTCAAAGAAAGCCTGTCTTTCCAGATGGCCTGTGAGTTCTGGACCTCCCACCAGCAGCTTCCTGTTGCCTTTAATGATGTTTCTTGGTGGAGGTTGTTTATAGCTTAAAAAACAACAACAAAACCCAAACCTCCTTGACTTGTTTTGTTTTCTCATCCCCTTCTCTTCTTTTTCAAGAGAAAAATCTTTTAAGGTAGACGTATCCATATGGAGCTGAGCCCTACTGGATTGGAGATTGTATGGAATGTGCTATTTATAAACTGCTCTAACAAGGAAATAATTTGTTTATCATTTTAAGACAAATGATTTAAATTTAACTTTAATTAATGCAGTTATTCATTTTTCTTCTTATTCTTAATTTAACGTGTTTAACCATTGAAATCCTGTTGTTATTAGACCTTCCTATTTCTCTGATAGAAATGAATTTTCCCATTAATCTGTTTAAAAGAGAACGCCTGTTTCCATTTATAGCAAGTTTATAATATCCCTCAAGTGGCCTGTAGATTTTTATTAAATATTTGGAGATGACCATCTCCAATCTTTTGTAAAGTAAAATATAAATAACCACATATACATGTGTATGCACATCCCTTTGAATTTTTTGTTTTGTTCTATTGCATGTGACTAGTGGACTACTATATAAGTTAGGAAGTATTCTTTCTTACAAAGATTCAATACTTTGGACCTTGGCTTCTTTAAATTGTTTAGATGTTTCGTCTTCATCAACCAGAAAAAGGGCAATACTATTTGTAATTTAAAAATGAACAAGCAGTTATTTCATCTAGCTAGAGAAAGGGCATAACATTTGTAATAAAATAATCATGTTTCTGTAATCATTATTTTCATAGTCAGGACTTGTGGGGTGTAAGCAAACCAAAATCTTAGTTTTTTCTCTCATCATCCCTTTAAATTGTTTTAATTGGGGGGAGTTTTTTTCTTTTCTTTTTTTTTTTTTTTTACCACAGATAGAAATTACCAGCAGGCTATAGGCTTTTCTTATCACTTTTAGTTAACAGAAAGTTATAAATAGGGCCACTCTAAGTTGCAAATCACAGTTTTAGTTGTACAATAAAAACTATCTGCCCAGTTCTTTTCGACCTTTATTTATCTGGCACGAGATGCATGAAGAGCCTGTGTTCCCTAGGAAGGAATGTGCGTCTCACCCCTCCCAGGCTGAGTCGAGGCTGGGAAGAAGGAGGGGGCATGAAGACTCTTTCTTGGCTGTTCTGTTGTCAGATGGCTTTGTGCCCTGCCTCTGGCCTTGGCAGATGTTTGATGATGACACTCTTCCTTGAGAAGTTCCTGCACTGGCCCCTGTGTTCCCCTCCTAGGATATGGGTGAAGGACGCTCTTCCTCCAGCTGTTTCTCCTCATCAGCTTCTGTTTTTCTGGGGGTTTACTGTATACTGACTCTCTTTGTTGGACTTTCATTACTCTTCCAGGTCCTCTTGGGCAGGATTCAAAATAGTTCCAGGCCCGCTCTGTCTCCCACTTAGAGTACGTCTGGTCCCCAGAAAGAACTCATGTGGCCTTTGTGCAGACAAACTCTGGATGCACAAGCTGACTCCTGCCCAGCCAGGCTTCTCCTGGCTATTACAGCCCATTTCAGCATTCTCAGGCCTGAGTTAGAAATGGGTCCCTGTGTCTCCAAACCAAAAATCAAAGTCTCCACGTGGTTTCATTGAAGTTGCCGTTTTAGAATGGAGTAAAGAAATAATTTAAACCTCTCTCATTTTATCCAAAGAAAAACTTTTATGACTGCTTTCTTCAAAGAACTTCATAAACGCTGTCTTCTCCCCCATTTTATACCCACAGTATGCGTGACAGTCAAGTGTTTGAACATTTGTCAGTTTAGTGTCTGCTGGCTATTGCTTCTTACAGCTGAGGTCAAACCTTCATTTTAACAACTCTTGATATATGGGGTGTGATCAAACAATAGAGTAAATATTTAAATAAAACATTTTTCATTATAGTAAAAGACACATTGCCATTAACTTCTTCAAAATACTCCCCCTCGCTTCAAAAACACTTATCCCACCATTCTTACCTCTTTCTGAAGCAGTTCTGGAAGTCCTCTTTCATGAGTGTCTTTAGTTGCACTGTTGTAGCTGCCTCGATGTCCTGAATTGATTCAAAATATTTACCTTTCATGGTCATTTTGATTTTGGGGAAGAGCCAGAAGTTACACAGTGGCAGATCCGGAGAATAAGGTGGATGAGGACACACCGTAATGTTTTTATTTGACAGAAATTGCTGTACCAGAAGCGCATGTGATACAGAGCCTTTCCATTGTGATTACAAAATACCATGAATGCTGCTGCTGAGTGCCATCCAACGGAAAGGCAGGGATTTTCAATATGGGTAGTGGTGCATTGAACTTTAGTAACAGTGTGTGACAAGTTTCAGCATGTTCAATGCAGTCAGTTGGGTGTGAGCTATGGATGAGAGAAGGTGTATTTTAAAGTGTACAGTAAATCATCCTCTATCATGACAGCATACCATGTCACACATCACTTCTGGTACAGCAATTTCTGTCAAATAAACACATTATGGTGTGTCCTCATTCACCTCATTCACTGGATCTGGCATTCTCTGTCTTCTGCTTCTTCCCCAAAGTCAAAATGATTCAGGACATCGAGGCAGCCATGACAGCATAACTAAAGACACTCATGAAAGAGGACTTCCAGAACTGCTTCAGAAAGTGGCAAGAACAAAGGAATAAGTGTGCTCAAAGTCAGGGGGAGTATTTTGAGGGGGATTAATAGCAACGTGTCTTTTACTGTAATAAATTTAAACATTCACCGTATTTTTCCATCACACCTCATACATCAATTGGTACAGTAGGATATAGGTTTGCTTGAATGTGAGTGAGATGTGAAACAGATTAACAAAATGAAATTTTATATCTCTTATTTAAAACTCCAACCTGGTCTGGTGGCTCTGTTCATCAGGGTCATTAGGAGTTCAGGCTTCTTCATTATCATTAGTCTGTCATCCTAAGGGTGCTTTCTTCACTTACATGACCCAGGATAACCATCGTGTCTTCATTTCACCGACTGGGGAAGGGGTGGAGGGACGGAGGAGGCACATGTCTTCCCTTAGCATGAACCAGAAATTACACACATCACTTCCACTCATGTTCCATTGGCCAGAATCCAGTCCACATAGCAACACTTGGCTGCAAGGGACTGGGGAACATGGGCTTCATTACAGGCAGCCATGGGGGCCAGCTAACATTTCTCTTATCATGGAAGAAGGGGAAAATGCATTTTATGGTTCAACCAGCAGCCTCTGCCACCCCATTCAACAAATACTGAGTATGAGTAATCCATTATGGGATATGAGCTAACCTCACTCTAGAGGATTTGAAACCACTCGTATTCCTATTTCTTCTTAATCTCACTAATACTGTTTAAATTTTTTTTATTTTAAAGGGAATCCAAGGTCCTATTGGTCCACCTGGTCCTCAAGGACCCCCAGGACAAGGCTCACCTGGTTCTAAGGTAACTTTCTCAATGGGAGAGGAGTTTAATATATTTATAATTTAATTGCTATTTTCTGGTCAGTGGCCAGTGCATTTGGAAGACAGTAGATGAAATGAACTGAAAAATCAGAGATCTCTACTTAATGTAAAATGTTACTGATGTTCCTAATGGTTTAGAAAATGTAGTACATATTCTTTATGCTCTTAGAAGCTTTCATTTACACAATCTCCATTTATTGTTTTCTTTATTACTTTTACTTATGAGACCCTGTTGTAGCAACTCAAGCAGTAATATCAGTAGAGGCTGCCTGTGGTTACATGCTTCTCTGGATTGGCTTATTTTCATTCTCATCAACATTCTGACTGTAGTTCCAACTACTGAAACATTTAGTTAAAGATATGGAGTTAGAAATGACCCAGAAGTAAACATTTCCTATGAACTTAGGAATCAAATTATTGCCTAAATTAGAACAATTATTTATTCCTTGGGGAGAGGCATGGCACCTATTCTTTAATTAGCTGTCCTTACTGTTGCTTCAAAGAATCGCCAATTGTTAAATGAATAAAATCGTTCTCTGAGAGGTCGCATTTTCAAGCGTACTCCTTAGTGATGCCCATGTGAGAAGCAGCTCAACAAACACTGCTACCGCCCTTGAGACTTTTGCTTTGGGCTACATCATCAAACGCTCAAGTTGTTCTCTCTGGTTATGATACTGTTCTGGATCAGCAGTCATCTTGGCTTCTAATGTGTCAATTTTAGTTGTTCTGGAATATAACTGCCAATTATTTCCTGGTACCCTTTATGGGAAGGGCTCCTTAAAATCAATTCTGAGTATGTTCCATAGCCTATATTTTAAGCCAGACCATTATATATTCCAAATTTGGTGAAAATATATATGTATACTCGTATATACATACTTGTGTGTGTGTGTGTGTGTGTGTGTATATATATATATATATATATATATATATACACACACACACACACATATATGAGCACATGTAGCTCAGTTTTCTCTCATTTTTTTATATAAGACAGCTCTTAGGAGATCAAAGACAGGAATATATTATTTTTATTTTGCTGCCTTAGTCAAATTCTCTTCAAATACTCTTTCCTTACTAGGGAGAAGTAGGTCAGATAGGACCTACAGGCCCTAGAGGACCAGTGGGGATTGGAGTACAAGGTCCAAAGGTAAGTAGATTATGCTGCTTGGAAGCATTTAGATAATTTATGTAATATTAGGTAAAGTTTCGTTTATATTCAAATGAAACATAGACCATGCATGTGTCCACTAACGGTTACTTTACTAGAGTATTTATTCAGAAAAGGGTCTGACTCTCAGTATAACTCTTATTGTCTATGAAGAACCAAAATATTGGTTTGCTTTAATGACTGCTATTTGTTTTTGAAATTCATTTATTTATTAGCGTCAGAGGTCCTTTTTTAGCACAGAGTGATTCTTTAAGAACATTATTGTCTGGCATATCATAAAACAAAGCACCTACTATAGTAGGATTTAAGTAAAGGTTACTTCCCTTCTTTTGTTTTGTGATTCCTAAGAAATTGCTTTCCTAAATCTAAAGTAGGTCCACACTATTTCTGCTACATGGTAATGTTATTTATTTTTATTAAATTTTTTAAAAATTTTCAATTACAATTGACTTTCAATACTGTTTTATATTAGTTTCAGGTGTACAACATAGTGATTAGACATTTATATAATTTATGAAGTGACCCCCCCCACCTCGATTACTCTAGTACCCACCTGGCACTATACATAGTTATTATTATGTATATTGACTATATTCCCTATTCTGTACTTTACATTTCCTTGATTATTTGGTGACTACCAATTTGTACTTCTTAATTCCTTCACCTTTTTCAACTACTCCCCTAATCCCCTTCCATTCTGGTAATCTTCAGTTTGTTCTCTGTATCTATGAGCCTGTTCATTTATTTTGTTCTTTAGATTCCACTTATAAGTAAGATCATATGGTATTTGTCTTTCTGTGTTTGACTTATTTCACTTTGAACAATACCTTCTAGGTCCATTTGTGTTGTCACAAATATGGTACTTAGTAATTTTATATCTCAGCATGCATGTTTCCCTTGCTTTCATCACTTCTCTCAACTTGCATTTAATTTGCATGTTTTTTTAATTAAAGTTGACCCTTGAATAACACGGTGTGTAGGGGTGCTGACCCCCCCCCCAGTCGTAAATCTACATGTAACTTTTGAATCCCCAAAACAAGTTGTCCTTCGGTATCTGTGGGGGTATTGGTTTTAGGAACCCCGTAGATTCCAGATTCTTGGATGCTCAAGTTGCTTACATATTATGGTGCAGAACAATGCATACAGTCAGCCCTCCACATCCACGGATTCCCAGCTGCAGATCAAATACTGTTTCAATCTGTGGTGGTTGAATCCATGGGTGCTAAACCCAGGGATACAGAGCAGCAACTTTATTGAAAAACATCTGCATGTAAGGGGACCTGCACAGTTCAAAGCTGTGCTGTTCATGGGTCAACTGTACTTTCCATCTTACTGTACCCTCTGGAACCGCACTTTCTCATAACAAGCCACAGGTGGTTATTGAATGCTCAAAATGTGGCTAGTATGAACTGGGATGTGCTACAAGTGTAACACACTCACTGGATTACAAGGCTTGGTACAGAAAAAATGTAAAATATATCATTAATACATTTGTACATTGATTACATATTGAAATAATAGCATTGCAGATATATTAAATAAAACATATTCCTAGAATTATTTTCACTCTTTTCTCTTAACTTTATAAATATGGCTGCTAGAAAAGTTATAATTACATATGTGGCTTGCTTTATATTTCTATTGACAGTGCAGTTCTATTGGGGGCATGGACCTGTTTCCTTCTTTTGCTTCTTTACTATTGAATGCCCAATTTGGGCAACATGATAGGTACTAAATAAATGTTGAATACATGAGTGAATCCTTACTTCATCTTTCACAATTTCTATAGTTCATCCTGAAGGCCAATAGGGTCTGATAAGCCACTCTAAGCATTACACTTCACTATTATTCTGCTGTCATTGTCACCATTATTACACATATTTGGTTATGAAAAAAGATTTGGTTATGTAAGATGTGGGCCTAAGAAGAGCATACGTATTACATATATATATATATATATAAACATATAATTATAGGGGACAAAAGGTGTACTAATGTAGTAATAATCGCTGCCATGTTTTGAGTGGTTTTGATGTGCCACACAATGTTCTGAATGACATATGTCTACACATATATGTAGTATGTATATTTGTCTAGCTATGTGTATTATGTCACATAGTTTTAGGAGGTGATAGACAGTTGGAAGGCTCAGCAGTTAGACTACCTAAGTTCAAATCCCAGCTTTGCCACTATCAAGATGTGTCATCTTAAGCATCTCTCACTTTAAAATAGTTCAAACATACTATTGTGAATACAAAGACCATCCATGTATTCTACACCTCATATGGAATGCAGTCATAATAATTGTTTTAATGTCCTTATCTATAAATTCTATCACCTGTGTCATTTTCTGGATCAGTTCCAGGAGACTGATTTTTCTCAGCACAAAGGGCTATATTTTCAAGCTTTTTTGAATGCCTGATAATTTTTTTTAGAAGCCACCCATTATGAATTTTATTTTTCTGGGGTACTGGATATTTTTGTATGTCTATAAATATTTCTTAGCTTTGTTTTCAGACTTTTAAGTTGCTTGAAAACAGTTTGAGCCTTTTGGGTCTTGCTTTTCAGCTTTACAAGGGAGGAACAGAGCAGCATTTAGTCTAGGGTTAGTTTTCCCCCACAACTGAGGCAAGACCCTTTTTAGAACTCTAAACCCTCAGAATTGTGAGGTTTTCTTTCTTGCCCTTAGGATCAGGCACTATTTCTGGAGTGTCAGTTCTCTCTAATCCTTTAAATTGTTTTTCTGGCCTTGGATAGTTTCTTCACACTGTGCTTAACTGTCAGAAAACTCCAGGGAGGAGCTCAGCAGATCTCTCCATGTAACCCCTTCCTGTCTGGTACTCTATTCTGTAAAATTTTGATATCTTGGCTCCTATGTCTGTGAACACCTTTGATACCAGGCTCCTATCTTCGCCTCCTAAAATTAGAGAGATTTCTGAACTTTCTCTTGGCACTCTCTCCCTGCTCCATGGCCAGGAACTATCCAGGCAGTAAACTGGGGAAATTGTAGCATTAATCTGATTCCCCTTTCTTAGGGATTATTTTCCTTCATTATTGGTTGTCTAATATCTTGAGAGACATTATTTCATATATTTTGTCTGTTTTTTTTAGTTGTGTCAGGCAGGGAATTAAATCTAGTCATTTTGACAGGAACTTGAAGTTGTATCTGTTTTCATAGGTAGACTGGTCTATAATTTTGTTTTCCTGTCTTATTGTAGTGATTTCTTTAATCAAGATTTTATTAGCTTCATATAATAAATTGTGTAGACTTCTTTTATTATTTTTCAGAGCTATTTGTATAAGATAGGAAATATCTGTTCTTCGAAGGTTTAGCAATTTGGGAAGGCTTGACTATAAAACCTACAAAGCCTGTGATCTTGGAAGGAAAGGAAGTGAGAGACCTTCAAGTGCTGATTTAATTTATTTAATGCTATTGGTTTATATAGCTCATCTGTTCCTTCTTATGCCATTTATATTTTTCTTGAGATTATTAATGTGCTCCAACATAGTTTTTGAAATTGTCAGAGAATTTTCTATGATTTAAAAAAACAATATTTACTGTGTATATCACTCTTTAATTCCTCTTTAATTCCTAATACTGTTTATTTGTGCCTTTCCTTTTTAAATATTAATCGTCTTGCTAGAAGCTTATTTATTAGTTTTTTTAAGTATTACCTTTTAATTTTGTTACTCTTCTTACTTTTTGTTTTCAAGTTTATTATTTTTTGCTCTCATCTTCATCATATCCTTCTTATTTTTAGGTTCACTGTGCTTTTTTCAGTAGCTTTTTAAAGTTTGGTTTAGTTGAAATGACTTTCAATTATCTTTGATATGTTTTGCTCTTAATAAATGCAGTAAGGATACTTTTATGTTGTTTGATGATAGCATGTGCTTCCTCCAAACACAGTAAAGCATGTATTCTTAATCATAAATTAACTTGAAAACAAGTAGAATTGAGTATTAGAGCTGGAAGTGATGTTAGGTTGCAAATATTTTTCCTGTCACTTTTATATTAGTTTCTTAGGATTGCTGCAACAAAATACCACAAACGGTGTAACCTAATACAATAGGCACTTAATGTCTCACAGTTTTGGAGGCTGGAAAATAGAAAATCAACATATGTGCAGGACCATGCTCCCTCTAAAACCTGTAGGGAAGAGCCCTTCCTTGCCTCTTCTTAGCTTCTTGTGGTGGCTAAGCCTTGGCTTGCAGCTACATCACTCTAGCCTTTGCCTCTGCTGTGATACGGTGTTCACCCTACGTGTCTGTCTTCATATGGTGGTTTCCTCATTTTATAAGGACACCAGTTGTATTGGATTAGGGCCCACTCTAATGACTTCATCTTAACTTGATTACATTTGCAAAGACCCTATTTCCAAAAAAGGTCACATTCACAGGTACCAAGGGATAGGACTTCAACTTATCTTTTTTGGAGTCACAATTTAACCTATAACAAACAACATAATGCAAAACTGAGGCCCAGAGAGGTTAAGTAACGTGGCCAGGGTCAACTAGTTTAGTTAATATTAATTACTATTGGGATTTCTGTGCTCAGAGGCTTGTCTCAGACACTGTAAGATGTATCCACTTGTAAGTACCTAAAAATGGCCGTATATGATAAACATGAACTTTGGGAAATAAATCTTTGCTCATCCACAAGGGGGCGCCAGGCTCAATAGGGCTCCCAGGACAGCCTGGAGTACCAGGAGAAGACGGCGCTGCAGGGAAGAAGGTAACCACGTTTTTCATATTACTGGAGTAAAAACTATTGAACCACACTGCTATCTTGGTCCTTCAGGAGCTCAAATTAAACCATCCTGGGCAAGCTTAGTCTTTTAAGAAAAAAAATCCCACAACTTTAAATTTCCTTTTTCACTGACTTCAGAGAGAAAGAGCACCAATTGAAAGACTGAGTGGTGTCTCACACCCTCTGCCTTCTCTCTGGCGTTTTGGCCATGGAATTCTCTTTGGGGTTCCTAGAAAGCACTTTAATTTAAACTCAGAGAAACACACTTTTTCCCCCCTCCAAAAGGAGAGTCTGTAAGTGCAGTAAGAAAGTAAGGCCATTATAAAGATTTCCTGAAACATTTTGAGCCGACATTTGAAATACTCATTTTTCAATGTAAGTAGTGAAAAACAGCAGATGGAAAGGCTGAAGGTCTTTCTTGTTTTTTTAAAAAACAAACCATCAAATGTGAATGACGAGCCAAAGGAAAGTGAGCTTATTGCTTTGAAAGTTGGCTGAGAAATTGGAGATTTTTCATGATATTTCAGCTGCTCTGAGTTAAACTGGAGTTTAATATTAATGTATTCAAGTTGGTAAACTTCCAAATTAATTTTGAGATTAGAGTGAGTGAAGGTCAGGCCTGTTTTGGAGGGTCTCAGCAGAGAGTCCACTGGCCATGAGAAGAGAGGTGGGATTAGACATACTGCCTACGAAGGGTCAGCTAAGACATCAGTGTCATTTCCTCTAGGGAGAAGCAGGGCTTCCAGGAACAAGAGGCCTGGAAGGACCTCCTGGAAGAGGACACCCTGGCCCCAAGGTATGGAACTGACAGAATGTTCGGGGAAGCAGACTGCCTGTGTTCTGGTCCTGACACTGAGAAGCCACCTTAGGAGAAATTTGATTGTGATTCTTGCCATGTCAAATATGTTTACGTCTGGATTAAAAGTATGGATACTAGTTTGGGAGCTCTTGGAAGACAGAAAGTATGTATTTTTTTATTTTATTTTCTAACATCTATTATAAGACTTAGCTTATAGGTCGAGCTCAACACATGTTTTTCTCAATAAATAGCCAGATTGAAATTTAAAAAACATATAGGAGAGCCGGCCAAGTGGTGCGTTGGTTAAGAGCTGGCTTGGGATGCCAGAGGGCCCCAGTTCGGATCCCACATATGAGGGCCAGTGACACTGCCCTCTACAGCTAAGATGCTGAACAACAGCTCAACCTGGAGCTGGGCTGCCGTGAGTCACCGGCGATGGCGTAAGCTGCAGCCCCAGTGGCAGTGGGTTGCCATGGGCTACCGTGTGTAGCCAGCAGCCGCCGTGAGCGGCCATCCAGAAGCCAGCGACTGATCTGCCTCGCCCGGGAAGAGCACAATGATGGTGCCAACTTGGGCCAGTGAAGCAACGTCTTCCACAAATAGACTGAAGAACAAAATGACAGCAACTTGTCTGTTCCCCTTCCCCCAACTCCCCAGCACTGTTCCCCTCCCCCAATTGCCCAATAAAATCTTTAAAAACATAAATAAATAAAAATAAAAAAAAACATATAGGAAAGGAAAAGAAGCCTTGAGATACATCCTTGAGACCTGAAAGTGCATAAATTTCCTCCCAATGCCTATGGAATTTCACATAGTAATAAGGAATATCACCTTATTAAGTGGCAATTTCATTTTCACAACTTGGCATAAATTTATATATTGTAGAAGTGCTAGTTGAATAACATCTTTATGCGTCAATGAGAATATCTAAATTCATCAATAAAGACCATTAGTGACACCACCTACACCCTCTAAGGTGCCTGACGTTCCTGCAGTTTTTATGTACAGTTGTCAATGCCCATATAAAGATTCTGAAGACTTCTATATGAGTAAAATAAAAATAAAAACTGTATACTTATTAGTATTCTATTTTTTTTTTAAGCTGAGCCATCCTGCTACCTGTTGGCAGCTCAGCAGCTGCTCAGCTCGGGCTGGACTCGAACCTCTGTTGCTCAGAGCTCAAACTCTTGAGCGAGCTCTTAACCAACTGAGCCACTCGGCCGGCCCCCCATTAGTATTATATTTTTAATTGTATTAAAATAGTATTTGATAGCTTAAGAAGTTGATGTCTTAAAAAATATTGGCTAAAATTGAGTCCCTAACTTTAAATGTAAGAATTTGGAATTTAAGTATATTTGTAGAATTTCAGACAATTTTATTGACTTACCACACTATGAGACCCTTTTTTTGGGGGGTGGAGGGGTGGGGGCGGAATGTAGACAGAGAATACCTTTTTAACACCATGCAAAAATACTTATTAAAAATGCTTGCCTATTAACATTCAGGAGAACTAATGTATTCTAGAATATACTTTTGGAAAATGGATACTTGAGTTAATAACTGTAGCTGTAAGAATGAATGATATCTCTGAGAAAGAGAGCCAAGGTTTGAGTTTTATGTGGCACAGTAGCTGGAGAAAGAACATTTAGGGCAGCACAAAGATAAGCAGAATAGTTACCATGCTAGGGAAACCAAAGAGCAAGGGTTTCAAGAGGAAAGCAATGGGTGGTGTCACCAACAGAGCAAGGAGAATGTGCATTGAAAAGAGAGGGCACTGGATTCGCAGCTGTGAGGTGATTTGTGGCTTATGGAAAGCACTAGGAGAGCAGTGATAGGAATATGTTATGTATCTCAGCGTTCTCCTATGGCTCAGTGTTGACACTTGATTACATTTAGTTGGGTTCCTGCTGTTGTCTTCTGGGGTGATTTAGGTTAGCGAGTTAAATTTGGTAGTTAATGGAAGAAAATAAATAGCTTTGGTTAGATGTAGTCTCTATTGGCAAATTATGATACAGTAAGTGATATTTTGACATTCAACTGTTACTTTTTTATTACTTGTGTCAATGTTCTCCATCAGTATGGACCTTGAGGAGTTAATTACATCTCTGTAGGTCCTACATAAGGCTGCCTCTTCTTAGTGGAGTGTCTGCATGGCTAATGACCTTGGTATAGTCCAGAGGTTCGCAAGGTGTGGTCCCTGGACCAGCAGCATCGACATCACATGGGAATGTGTCAGCACTATGAATTCTTGGGTCCTAATGCAGACCTATGAAATCAGAATCACTGGGGGTAGGGCCCAGCAATCTATGAGCTAACAAGCTCTCCAGGTGATTTCTGATACATGCTCAGGTTTGAAAACGATTGTACAGTCATTTATGTCATAAATGTTGAAATGGCCTCAGCTGCAAACCCCAAGGAGTTATTCCCTTGTTGAGCTGGGCACACACTTGCATCTGGTGCCTTGCAGCTGAGCCCTAGTTTAAGGATAGTTTTGTAACTCTCGGAGGCTTCTGGGTGAAGGTAACACAATTCTTTGGGGGGAGCACTGGAGTACCCCACCAGGCTGGGGAAGAGCCAGTAGGCAGTTTCTAGTTCTGCCCCAGGTTAATTAATACTCACATATCTTTCTACCAACAGAATATCAGTCTCCTTTGGTAGAAAGAACTGGAAACCCCATTGAGGAAGAAATGGGGCTGGATTTGAAAAATATTTCATTTTATGTTTTAAAACTCAAATAGCATGAAAGCTAAAAAACAGCACAGATAGGTCTCTTTTCTGAAACTGCGATTGTCTCAGAACCATCTGTTAATAGACCCAGGGTGCAAAAGAACTGTAAATTCAAATAAAAGTCCCCAAAGAAAGATACTGAACTTAGAGTTCAAAAAATATTAAATAATATTGAATAAATAGTGAGGACTGAGCGATTCTGAGTTTCCAATCTGCTCAAGAACATCGACAAACCCTGTACAACTGAGCTGGGCTTGGGGCGCATCACTCTAGAAAGGGTATTAGTTAAGAATCTGGCCCTGATATGACTGTTATCAGACTGAGGAGGGTTTATTAATACTACAATTATATTTTTATAATTATGTTGTCAGGGTGATGAAGGAAAGAAAGGGAGCAAAGGAAACCAAGGACAGAGGGGATTTCCAGGGCCCGAAGGGCCAAAGGTATGATTCTGATGTTCTCATTGACGCTTTGGGGAGACTATAATTGTGTTTGGTTTTAATCAAGTATTGGATTTCTACTGCAAATTTGATCTCCCATTTCCTTCTCAACAAATACAAAACAAAAACTCCAAATGAAAAAGGCTTTAGAAAACGTACTATTCCAGACCATAATACAATGGAATAAAGAGATTGCATAAAATATGTAATCTTCATTGGAATATTTATGCTTCTAAAAGAGAATGTGTCTGTCAGTCCTCTCTACTAACAATTCAATATTCAGAAGTTGGGATAAAGTTGGGACCAGAGGAGATACCAGTTCTCTATCACCTTGTTTTACTGAACAACAAAAGCATCCCAGGCCGAGAGGCCATGCAGTGGTGATGAGGAGCAGGCTACAGAAGGTGGGAGAATGGTTAGTGTCCTCATCCTGCTCCATCCACCCTGGAACCTTTCGGGGCCAGTCACTTCAATCACAGAAAGAAAGTAATAACAGTATCTATTTCGCAGGGTTGTTGTAAAGGCTAACACAGTTAATCAAACACTTAGCACAGTTCCTGGCACATAGTAAGTGCTCAATACGTGGAGTTATTCAGGGAGAAAAAAATATCAACACTACGAAATGGAAAGTAGAGGATATGTGTCCCGATGGACGGGGCGCTGAGGAAGAAGGAGAGGAAATTGTGAGGCAAGCAATGAGGTACATGACCCGACTTAGCAGGAGACAGAATATTGAGGTCATTTGGATGTGTCAGGAAACAGAAATTGCAAACCTAAGTGAGTTCAGGCCTGTAGGAAGATGCTAATTGTAAGAAGAAACAAGGAGTATGTTCAAGGACCAGGCTATTAAAGGACTAAAAAAAAATAAATAAAAATGGTACTGGCAATATAAGAGCAAGTATAAAACAAAGCATCCCCTGCAGAACAGTGATTCTTAAATGTCTGTGTTCCTCAGTGTCCCCTGCAGAGCTTGTGACAAATCCATATTTCTTGGCACCATGCCCAGAGATCTGGATTTAGTAGGCGAGTGGATCCCAGGAATCTGATTGTCTTAAATAAGTGCCCTCTGTTACAGGTAGTTCAAGGAGCACATGAGAAATGCCACTATGTAAGACATGTGATTTATTAGTATTAATAACAGTGATTACTCTTTATGTCTTAGCTACTCTTATTCAAACTGAATATTCTTCTGTATTTTGAAATAAAGAGTTTTATTGGATGAAGAACTGCTATAGTTTAAAACACAATCACACCTTAATACAGAGTCTTTAAAAGAACTGTATACTTTCTATGTAGATAACTGTATTTTAAAAATACAGGAATTGGCCTCATTTTAAAAAGCAAAAGTGGTTAAATCTAGAAGCATAATTTTGCTTACCCTGGTCTTAGTGAAAAATTAACACGTTAGTGTTTTATTCCTTTGCTGGAGGACTGAATCGGGTGGTTATCTGTTGTCCGAACCCCGATGCCTCATGTACCATTGCCTGATAGGTTTGGAATTAAGGGTTGGCACATGCACATTTGGTACAATCTGGGCCCCTGTAGGGCATGTGCTCAGCCTGTCTGTCATGTTGGGGATTCAGCAGAATGGGAGGCCTCAGCTGTAAGGATGAGTGCGGCTCATGGCAGGGGCCATTATCAGTGGATCTGATTTACTAAGTCCCTCCCCAAGGGGGCAGGACATCCAATGGGCAACTCGCAGTATTGAGAACAATTCATTCTCTAATGCAAGGGGAGGCAAGCTTTTTGGTAAAGGTACAGGTAGTAAATATTTTAGGCTTCACGGGCCAAGATGCAAAATGGAAGATATGATGTAGGCACCTACATAACAATCATTTCAAAATGAGAAAACCATTTATAGCCCATGGCTGCACAAAACCAGACAGCAGGTGGGATTTAGCTCACAGGTCATGCAGTTTGCTGCACCTATTCTAAACCAGTAGTTTCCAACTGTTTGATTAAAAATCTCTAATAGTAAAAAGATTTTGACCGCATTCCTGTGTATGTTAATTATTTTTAATTGTAATTTTTATTCAAAAACTACCATACTAGTGTTATGCGATTTATGTGGATAACTGAAATTTTAAAAGATGGGATAAAATATATATAATATAGCCCTAATATCTTCTTCTAATATCCCAAATGGGTCATTTGAAACACCTCGTGGGGTGTGTGCATCCTCTTTTAATGACAATTACTTTGCACAGTATTTTTAAGTGTGGTAATTGTACCTATAATATTGGAATCATCAGAGGTGCCTCATAAAAATTCATATTCCTGAGCCCAGCCCCTAGATCTATTGAATTAAAGCAACTGGGATTGAAACCCTAGAGTCTGTATTTTACCAAATGCATCTAGAAATCATCAGAGGCAAGAATAATTGGTCTAGAACTAGACAGAATAGAGGTATTATTGCTTGCTATTCCAGACTGAGCCTTTACTGAGTGAGACTCAATATTGAGACATCAAAAAATAAAAAATAAAAATTGAGCAGTTTTAATTTTTCTATTCAAAATTTAATTTTTTTTTTTTACTGTAAACTCTTTACTTCTAAAAAGGGATATGAGAAAGCTTAAAATGAAAGGCTGACATACTATGGGCCACAAAATAACAAAGGAAAAAGGTATTGGGTTGTCGGAAAAGTCATGACGCATTTTTG